CCACATTTCCTCCACCTTTTATCCCTTTTTCCACCTTTTCCACCCTTTATCCCATTTTTCCACCTTTTATCAACTATTTTCTCACCTTCCATCCACTTTTCCCCTTTCCCCCACCATCTATCCATGTTTTCCACGTTTTTCCCAACTTTCCTTCACCTTTTTTCCACCTTTCCTCCTTTTTTCTACATTTCCTCCACTTTTTCTACCTTCCATCCACTTTTTCAACCTTTTATTCCTTTTTCCACCTTTTATCCACTCTTTTCCCACCTTTCCTCCACTTTTTTCCACCTTTTTCCACATTTCCTCCACCATTTATCCACTTTTCCATCTTTTCTCCACTTGTTTCCCACGTTTTATCCCCTTTTTCCACCTTTCCTCCACTTTTCCCCACCTTCCATCCACTTTTTCCACTTTTCCTCCCTTTCCCCACTTTTTCTCCACTTTTTCCCAAATTTCCTCCACTTTTTATCCCTTTTTCCACCTTTTCCACCCTTTATCCCATTTTTCCACCTTTTATCAACTACGTCCCACATTTAACCACTTTTTCCACCTTTTATCCCCTTTTTCCCACCTTTCCTTCACTTTTTATCCACTTTTTCCTCCTTTTATCCACTTTTTCCCACCTTTCCTCCACTTTTTATCCCTTTTTCCACCTTTTCCACCCTTTATCCCATTTTTCCACCTTTTATCAACTACTTCCCACATTTAACCACTTTTTCCACCTTTTATCCACTTTTTCCCACCTTTCCTTCACTTTTTATCCACTTTTTCCACCTTTTATCCACTTTCCCCCCACATTTCCTTCACCTTTTATCCACTTTTTCCACCTTTCCTCCTATTTTTTCTACATTTCCTCCACTTTTTCCACCCTCCATCCTTTTTTTTCCTTTTCCCGCTTTTCATCCACTTTTTTCCACCTTTTATCCCCCTTTTTCCACCTTTTATCCAATCTTTTCCCACCTTTCCTCATTTTTTCCACCTTTTTTCCCCATTTCCTCCACCTTTATCCACTTTTCCCACCATTTATCCACCTTTTATCCAAATTTTCCACCTTCTATCCCCTTTTCTCCCCACCTTCTATCCACTTTTCCACCTTTTATCCACTTGCTTCCCACTTTTTCCACCTTTTATCCCCCTTTTTCCATCTTTCCTCCATCTTCTACCCACTTTTTTCCATATTTCTTCCACCTTTTATCCCTTTTTCCACCTTTTACTCACTCTTTTCCACTTTTTCCCTACTTTTTTCCACCTTTCTTCCACCTTTTATCCACCCTTTCCCCTTCCTCCACCTTTTATCCACTTTTTTCTTCCCACCTTTCCTGGACTTTTTATCCACTTTTCTCCCAACTTTTACCCATTTTTTTCAACCTTTCATCCACCTTTTATCCATTTTCACCTTTTATCCACTTTTCCCATCCTTTATCCATCTTTTCTCACCCTTTATCCACTTTTATCCACTTTTCCCACCCTTTATCCACTTTTATCCACCTTTCCTCCACTTTTCCCACCTTTTATCCACTTTTTCCCCCTTTCCCCACCTTTTATCCACTTTTTACCCTTCCTCCACCTTTTATACACTTTTTTCTTCCCACCTTTCCTCCACCCTTTATCCACTTTTTCCCACCTTCTATCCACTTTTCCCCAACTTTTATCCACTTTTCCCACCTTATATCCAATTTTTCCACTTTTTCCACCCTTTATCCACTTTTTCCACCTTTCAACCACTTTTTTCCACCCCTTGTTCACCTTTTAGCCACTTTCCCCACTCTTTATCCACTTTTTTCCACCCTTTGTCCACTTTTTATCCACTTTTCCCCACTCTTTATCCACTTTTTTCCACCCTTTGTCCACTTTTTATCCAGTTTTCCCCTTTATCCACTTTTTCCCACCTTTTATCCACTTTCCCCACCCTTTATCCACTTTTTTCCGCCTTTTATCCACCTTTTATCTGCTTTCCCCACCCTTTATCCACTTTCCCCACCTGTCAGCCACTTTTTTCCACCCTTTGTCCACTCTTTATCCACTTTTCTCACCCTTCATCACCTTTTTCCACCTTTTATCCACTTTTTCCACCCTTTGTCCACTTTTTCCACCCTTTGTCCACTTTTTCCCACCTTTTATCCCCTTTTTATCCCCTTTTCCCACCCTTTATCCACCTTTTATCTGCTTTTCCCACTTTTTATCCACTTTTTTCCACCTTTTTTCCCCTTTTTTATCCACTTTTTCCACGCTTTGTCCACTTTTCCCACCTTTCATCCCTTTTTTTCCACCTTTTGTCCACCTTTTATCCACTTTTCCCACCCTTTATCCACTTTTTTCCACCTTTTACCCCCTTTTTATCCACTTTTTCCACCTTTTATCCACCTTTTTATCCACTTTGTCCACCCTTTGTCCCCTTTTGATCCACCTTCCCCACCCTTCCTCCACTTCCCTTCCCTCTTCATCCTTTTTATTATTACTACTTTCATTTTTTTATTATTTTTTTTCCAACTCCCCCTCCCTCCTCCCTTTCCCTTCCCCCTCCCCTCTATCCCCCATCCCACCTTTCCCCCACCCTTCATCCACTTTTTTCCACCTTTTATCCACTTTTTACCCACTTTCCCCACCCTTTATCCACTTTCCCCACCTTTCAACCACTTTTTTCCACACTTTACCCACCTTTTATCCACTTTTCCCACCCTTTATCCACTTTTTATCCACTTTCCCCTCCCTTTATCCACCTTTTATCCACTTTTTCCACCCTTTGTTCACCTTTTAGCCACTTTTCCCACCCTTCATCCACTTTTTTCCACCCTTTATCCCCTTTTCCCCACCTTTTATCCACTTTTTTCCACCCTTTATCTACTTTTTATCCACTTTCCCCACCCTTTATCCACTTTTCCCCACCTTTTATCCATTTTTTCCACCCTTTGTTCATCTTTTAGCCACTTTTTTCCACCCTTTATCCACTTTTTATCCACTTTTTCCACCCTTTGTCTGCTTTTCCCACCCTTTATCCACCTTTTATCTGCTTTTCCGACTTTTTATCCACTTTCTTCCACCCTTTATCCACTTTTTTCTACCTTTTATCCCCTTTTTATCCACTTTCCCCACCCTCTATCCACTTTCCCCATCTTTCAACCACTTTTTTCCACCCTTTGTTCACTTTTTATCCACTTTTCCCATCCTTTATCCACTTTTCCCACCCTTTATCCACCTTTTATCTGCTTTTCCCACTTTTTATCCACTTTTTTCCACCCTTTGTCCACCTTTTATCCACTTTTCCCCACCTTTTATCCACTTTTTCCACCCTTTGTTCCCCTTTTAGCCACTTTTCCCACCCTTTATCCACTTTTTTCCACCCTTTGTCCACTTTTTCCACCCTTTGTCCACTTTTTCCCACCTTTTATCCCCTTTTTATCCCCTTTTCCCACCCTTTATCCACCTTTTATCTGCTTTTCCCACTTTTTATCCACTTTTTTCCACCTTTTTTCCCCTTTTTTATCCACTTTTTCCACGCTTTGTCCACTTTTCCCACCTTTCATCCCTTTTTTTCCACCTTTTGTCCACCTTTTATCCACTTTTCCCACCCTTTATCCACTTTTTTCCACCTTTTACCCCCTTTTTATCCACTTTTTCCACCTTTTATCCCTTTTTTTCACAGGCATTCCAGCAACAGATAATGACCACCATGACCACTGAACAGAAATGAGAAGATGCAATAAAACCCAGTCTTCTGCCCTTCCTCAATTCCCTATGAACACATCATAGACACAAATGCTTATTTTTTCCATCCTTGATGCCACCCAGCACTCCATTCACAGTGAATGCCACAGTATTTGCTTTCATCAATCATGCCTCCTCTTCCCCTTTTGATCCACCTTCCCCCCCCTTCCTCCACTTCCCTTCCCTCTTCATCCTTTTTATTATTACTACTTTCATTTTTTTATTATTTTTTTTCCAACTCCCCCTCCCTCCTCCCTTTCCCTTCCCCCTCCCCTCTATCCCCCATCCCACCTTTCCCCCACCCTTCATCCACTTTTTTCCACCTTTTATCCACTTTTTACCCACTTTCCCCACCCTTTATCCACTTTCCCCACCTTTCAACCACTTTTTTCCACACTTTACCCACCTTTTATCCACTTTTCCCACCCTTTATCCACTTTTTATCCACTTTCCCCTCCCTTTATCCACCTTTTATCCACTTTTTCCACCCTTTGTTCACCTTTTAGCCACTTTTCCCACCCTTCATCCACTTTTTTCCACCCTTTATCCCCTTTTCCCCACCTTTTATCCACTTTTTTCCACCCTTTATCTACTTTTTATCCACTTTCCCCACCCTTTATCCACTTTTCCCCACCTTTTATCCATTTTTTCCACCCTTTGTTCATCTTTTAGCCACTTTTTTCCACCCTTTATCCACTTTTTATCCACTTTTTCCACCCTTTGTCTGCTTTTCCCACCCTTTATCCACCTTTTATCTGCTTTTCCGACTTTTTATCCACTTTCTTCCACCCTTTATCCACTTTTTTCTACCTTTTATCCCCTTTTTATCCACTTTCCCCCTTTTTCCACCCTTTATCCACCTTTTTCCACCCTTTATCCACCTTTTTATGCACTTTTTCCACTGTTTGTCCACTTTTGATCCACCTTCCCCACCCTTCCTCCACTTCCCTTCCCTCTTCATCCTTTTTATTATTACTACTTTCATTTTTTTATTATTTTTTTTCCAACTCCCCCTCCCTCCTCCCTTTCCCTTTCCCCTCCCCCCTC